GGTTTATCATATTTTTCTTCTCTCTTTTTATGATAACTGTCCGAAATACAAATTCATTATGATCACTAAAACAAACAGAAAAAATTAGAACCAGAAGCGTTGGCGATGTTGAATAACATCATAGCACTCTTACCTTGGAACAAGTTGACAATCAAGAAAAGACAATAATGGTATCAGATCCGAGAAAAAAGAATCCACACACACACCAACACCAATCACGATCGAAATTCTCGGTCCGAACTTTTCTTGCACAAGCAAGCAAGGACCTACCTACCTACCTACCTCACTCGCGTTCGTGTTGGGCATGACTTAATCTTTGGAAAAATATACCGTATATACAGTAGATACAGTGTATACTGTACCTCCACTTTTCTTTTTTGGTGTTATCCTGTGACAATGAAATTTTTTTTTTTTTGGATCATTTACGATCTCGGTTAGACCGGCTTGTTTCGTGGATGGTTATGTTGAACAAATGAGAAACGAGACGTAAATAAATAAATAAGAGGTGACAGGAATTCTGAGAATTTAAGAAGGATTACCTGGAGGAGAAAACTTGGTACAAAGGAGATTGTTTGCTTGAACGAATTTTCTTTTTTCGAAAGTTCTGATTTAAAACGCTAACATAGATCTTCGTCTCATCTTCAAAGATTTGCCAAACAGGAATCATCGGTTGTGCACACATTCACTGGAGGAAATGAAGATGACCCTTTCTTAAAATAAAGAGATCACTACTACTAACTTGACCAGGCGTGATAGATGATAGCGTGAATGAGATGGTGTGAAGCGAATACGCATATCTTCGTATATTTTGTGTACGCGCGTTAACTATTTTTATTTATATTAAAATTATGCGTGAATAAAATTCAATTTTACACAAAATTTGCGATCGTGATTTCGATACACGTGCCTCACGTGCCGCAATCCATGCGTCAAATCACCTATCGACAAATGATATACGTAATACGCATGAAAAAAAGGAAAAAGAAAAAAAAAAAAAAAAAAATTTTTTTTCGATCTAATAATCGATGATAATAATGTTCTGTTTGTAGAATCATCCGAGATTATATTAAACTACCTTACTGAATAAAGGAAGGAACGCCCGTCCGTCGTGTTTTTACTATTTATTTGCGATGTGCACACCTTTGACGTACCTTGCCAATCATCAATCAACTAATCACCAATCCACTTGCTTCTTTTGACGCAGTCCAGACAAAAGAATCACCGTACCCACAATTCCCGGACCCAAACTAAAAGATATTCCCGAGCACTTATTATTTCCCCGTATTTGTTTACCTGTTATCCTGGATGCTTGGCATACAAATCAAAATTTACTAGGCATGTGCCATCAAATCTGAAATTAAGTTATCTGCTTAACCTTTGTTATCTTCATTCATTACTTGCAAACATTTGTTGTATACATTGTAATTAAGGAATCGCACCTGTTGATTTCCTGCTGTCGCAAAAAAAAAAAATTTTTTTCATGAAGAAAAGAACGTGTTCCTTTAATGAAAATAGAATGTGATCCTAGCACGAGATTTTAATCAAAATAATAAAAAAATTTTTTTTTCTCGTGTAGCATGTAGCCATCAATCGATCACTCGTATCCCACGTTTGGTAATTTGATTCTCCAAGCATTTGGTATTGTTGTAATAGCAACGATGATGTTAACGATAGTAGTAGTAATAATAATAATAATTATTATTATTATTCTAATAATTATTATTGTTGTTATCTTATGAGGTACCTATTACGATCGTCGAGTAACTGTTTTAAACCATTTATAAATAATGGACGTGTTTGTTCGATGGCCCAGCGATGACGAAGGAAAATTTTCGATTACGGTCTTCGCGCGCTTACGTGTGCAACTGCTTCTCACCGGTAGACGTGTTGCGAGGCGAGGCGGTGGACTTTCATGAGGTAAGATTACGTACGTACGGAAAAAAAAACTAGATTAATAAATTACGTACTCGGCAATCTGATAGTATATGACCGCACTCAATTAAGTTTAATGTGTGACATGATCTCGGAACCAATGAAATCGGATTATAAGAGTACCTTAGGAATATCAATTCGTTATATGACTTTATTTGAACATATTAAAACCGAAAAAAAAAAATATATTTATTGAAAATGTTGGAATCTTTCTGGTATGCGTGTCCAAACGTTTGACGCGAGCGGGAAATTGTATGATCGCACAGAACGGGTGTTTCATTCCCAAAACGTCATCTATCACTCGCCTTTCTTGTTCCGTTTTCTCGAGTTCCAAGTATGCAAATATCGGACCTCAACATACTGCTACTGTAATACTTTCGTGTTTATCTAACAATGACCCGTTTTTGTTGATTGATGTCTAATCCCCACACTAGTTCACAGCCTCAATCACCAAGATTCTACTTTGAAGAGAACTCGTGGAGGCATTTTAGCTCTCATAAAAAAAATTTTATTGTACCTTCCTAAAAAGGCATCAGAAAGTGTGTGAAAAGAACGTGGTAGCAGTTACATTCTTCCTCATTATTCCCGACAAAGTTTTTGATCGTCATTACTTTCTAACCGATTGCATGGGACAAAATCGGAAAAGATCGGAACTAAACGGGAAATGCGCGAACTCTATTTGGCAATACCCACTATTGCCCTTTGACCTATCGCCAAAACGTTCGATTCACAACACAAGGAACATTTCGTACACGTGACTACCATTTATATCCGACCACTGCCTATATAATAGTTTGCCGTGAGGTTAATATTCTCGGTTTCCATCTCGTTTTACGTTTGTTGCGTTCAGCGTAAAAATGGCAGATAATTTTTTTTTTGGTGCCGATCTTTTTTTTTTTTTTTTAAAAGTGACTTGCTACAAGACTACATACTTGCACTTCCTTTTTAAATTTTATACAGTGCATTTAAACTTTTATGGGTATTGCGTAGCACATCAACGAGTTTATTATAATTCATATTATTTTAGAACACATTTCCATTAGATAAACTAACCTTTTGAGAGTTTCAAAATTCCCACCCGTCCTTTCTACACCTTTTTTTTTTTTTTTTTTTTTTTTTTTTATTACTTTCTTTGTTCGTTTCTGCAAGTGTTTGTTGGTAGGATTGGATTGTGCAATCAAGGTTCTCGTAATTTTGCGTGGGGTGGCGGTGCCCTTTTTTTCTATCAAAATCCAATTTTTATGGGGAAGGATCCGACAAAAAAAAATAAGCTTAACACTGTTGAACTTTTGGTTCCAGAAAAAATTTGTGCCATTCTTCTCGGATAACAAGTTTCCAAACTTTTTTCCTGCACCCAAAAGGTTTAGGCGTTATCGAAGTACCAAGATTGCGTCAATGAATGATGTCAAAAAATATACAGAGCTTACATCTCTCATCTTTCGAAAGGTCGATTTTTCGTGCGGTGAGCAAAGGTTCAAGAGCGAGTGCACACATAATTATCATAATGTCTGACGCAAACCACATGCTACCTGATTTGTGATAATTGAACCTTTAATACCAGTTGCAAACAAGTTCATAGATCTCTGCTGATGTAATAAATTAAAAGAAAGGACAAATGTAAACATAACAAAAAAAACTTAAAAATAGACTCCACAAAGATATAAACACAATTCATTGTTTTAACTTTCTACATGCTGTATACAGTTTGTTAATCCACTCATTATAATGCGGGCAGTCAAATCATGATCTTTGTCGTATCACACGCATCACACATTTAAGATAGCAAACACGCGTTCACACACATCAAGTTCTTGACAAGATGAAAGCAGGAACGTTAAAATTTATAAAACAATCTTGCAAGTTAAATTAATATAGAAGTTAAAAGATTCAGGTATAACCGTCGAAAGGTTTGGACCTAACACCTAACATGTCAAAGAATGACATGAGACAATAGTAATATTAAGGTTTTTTTTTTTTTTTTTTTTAGAAAAAAATTTTTTTTTCAAACACGTGGTGATAGGCCTTCGACCAAATTAAGATCGAAAAATGGATTCCTTTCGCCTTTAGGAAATGCACGAATCTCGAATCTTTGTATATAAATGATCACATTTGATTTCTTAATGTTTGAATTTGAATTTTAAGCTTTCGCCCTGCCATTTATTTAATATATATATGTTATTATTAATTAATTAATACATAATTATACTACAAATACGAGATACGGGATATGCATTCGATTGTAATTTATATTACAACTCGACGAAATTCAAACTGACTTGCAAATTAAAGTTTTACTTTATTGATCTGTAACGTCTTATCATACCCTGTGATATTTGATTGATTACTGTATATGATTTTTAAAATTATATGCAGTGTGCTAAGTGTATTATTACTGCTTTTTCTTTTTTTTTTCTCAATTTTTATCATGTTATTATAATAAATAATAATTTTACTTTAAATACAATTCATTTAATAAAATATTATATATATAAATTACAAGTGAAAACTGAAATTTTACTATGGAAAAATTTTTTAAAAAAATTGAATATAAGAATTAATAAATAAATTTACTTACAATTTTATAGATATTTGATTATAAAATATTTTTTTTACAGTATTTAAATTATTATTAAAAGCTGATTTTATTATAGTTTTGATATTAAATTTTATTAATATATTATTTACTAATAACATTTTTGTAATTTTTAAAAATTTTATAAAAATTAAATTTATATTCTATTGATTTTTGATTAACAAATATAATATATAAAACAAAAAAACCATTACAATTTTTATATATTAGTTTTTTATTAATAAAATAATTTTTTAAAAATTAATTTTAATATATTTATATTTATTTAAATAAAAACATTTGTTTTTTATAATAATATATTATAATAAAATTAAAATTTATAAAAAATTTTATTTGATTTTTTATTTGTAATTTATATACAACTTTTTAAAATTATTTATTTATTTGTTATTTAAAAACTATTGCATAAAAATTAATAAACAATATATTAAAATAAAGTTTAAAATTTAAAAATAAAAATATGTTTTGAAATTAAAATTTGAAATTTAAATTTTTTGAATATTAAAATAAAATATAAAATTTTACAACTTTATAAATTTATATACAATAAATTTAAAAATTAATTAAAAATAAATAAAATATTGTATCTTTTTAATAGCCATTTTTTTATATTTTAATTTATAATTAATCAAGATATTAAAATTTTTTTTAAAAATTTAAAAAGATTTTATTATACAGTATATATAGTATATTATATATTTAATAATTTGGAAATATTATTTATTATATTATTAATTTACAAATTTAACTATTTTTTTTAAGATTAAAAATAAAAAATCTTTATAATTATACTAAAAAATTAATTTAAATTGATTTTTAATATTTTAACAAAATTTAATTAAATAATTAAAATGTAATAATTAACAAAAAGTTTTAAAAAATTTAAAGTAATATAATAAATATTATTATAATAAAGCTGTATATAAAGATTATATTAAAATAAACAATAAATTCAATAATTATATATTACAGACCTTACGGACTGGATCAAGGCAGCAACAGAATCACTGTCCTTATTGCATGACCTAATTTGGAAACCACGTTGCTCCACAGCCAAT